GGGGAGAGGCCGGAGTCGGTGGTGCCGGGTGCTGAATCCGGGGATGGATCAGTTTGCGTTGGGTGATGAAAGGTGGCACAAAGGGACCGTCTCACCCCGCGGGGACCGAGAGAGGGTCTTACCCACGGTCACGGTGTGGCACTGCAGAGCTCCGTATCGTCTCGGTGGAATAAAACGTGTTCAAGGAGCGATGTGCCCCAGCGTTTTCCCAGCTGATGTTGCCAAGAGCCCTGCAGCTGAGCGCTGACCCCTCCTGCCTGTCCTTGTCCCCTGGCAGCTGCCTGCAAGGAGAGCAAGCGTCCCCTGGAAGTGTCGCAGCACTCAGAGGAGATGGGCCTGATCCTGGGGATCTGTGCCGGAGGGCTCATTGTCCTGATTATCCTCCTGGGAGCCATCATCGTCGTCATTCGGAAAGGGTAAGGAGACCTGGTGTCACTCCTGATGCCTCCGTCTGTCCCCTCCTCCCAGCTCAGCCCTTCCCTACCACCCTAGCACCAACTGGGAGTTACTGGTGGCGATACTGCTGCGCTGGGCAGACTCCGAACCCTCCCTTGAGCTGCAGCTCCATGCGCTTGTGCATCCCACCGGGCACGGTGCCCTCCTCGCTCTGTGACACTGGGCATGGCAGGAGGCACTGGGGACACTGGGGACCAAGGAGTGAAGCTCCCAGGGGTGTCCCTTTGCCTTCCGCAGCTCTGTTCTCTGTCCCTCTCCCCTGTATTTTTCAGTCTTTTGCCTCTTTTTCTGCTTCTTGGCTTCGTGCTGCTCTGTCGATTCTGCATTGATGGAAGTGTTTCTGGGCAGGATTGGGCTTGGAGGGGTCCTGGCCGGCGCTGAGCCTGGCTGTCACCATCCCACCAGCTCTCCCCTTGGTAACAGCAGCCAGGGTTCCCCAGGGTGTGCAGCCCTGCACCGCTTTCAGCCCAAAATTACAAAAATCAGCTTAATCTGCACTGCGAATACTGTCTCTGGGCTTGCCGGCTGCCTTGGCCAGCCCAGCGCAGGATCGGTCCCTGTGAGCGTTGCTGTCTGGGCTCTGGCCGTGCTGGTACCCTGCCAGCGGGCTGGGTTAGGGATGGGGCTGTGCATTGTGCCGCTGTTCCCGGAGGTGGTGAGGAGGGGAAGGCATTTTCGCCATCGCTCCTCCCCGAGACGGCAGGCGAGCGCCCAGCACCGGCGGGAGCAGAGCCCTGGGGGTGCTCGGTTCTGGGGTGATGGCCAGAAAAAACCTCCTTCTGCAGCTTGTGCCTGGGAAGTGGTGCGGTGCTGCTGAAATGCCTGGACAGACTCCGGCTCTTGTCCTGGGCTCCAGTTCCATCAGCGCGGGGAATGGGGAGAACGGGGAGCAGCATCCCTGTTCCTCTGGGGCCAGGCAGCTTCTGTGGGTGCTCAGATGGTCCCAGCTCCTCCTGGCCTGGTTTTAATGGGGAATCGCTGAGCTTGCAGTGAAACATGAGCAATCCCTTGCTGAGAGCCTCCAGCTAGTTCTGAATGAGATGTTAAAATTGGGGTGTACGCCACAGGGGAGGTTTTTCCAGGGCTGATGGTCCCTGGGGACCCCCATAGAGCTCTGCCACCCCTGTGGGGGTCCGTGCTTTCTGGGGAGCCGAGCGTGGCCGGCGTGGATGCGGCCGTGGCCATCACGGCGGGGTGGGAGGGAGGAGGGCGAGGGCTTTTCGGGACACTCATCCCCGGGAGCGTCGGGGATGCGGCCGCTGCTTTTCGCTCGGGTGCAGCGCCCTGAAAAGCGGCTTCTTACCGTGCGGGGGGGGGTGCGCCGAGCCGGGGGGGATCTCAAAGCGGGGGAGAAAGGGCAGCAATTAAACGCCTTCCCCGTGCAGGGCCCGGGATGGTGGGAGGAAAGTACAGTAACAGCCAGGGGGGAGAGAAAAATAGCAGGGCACAAGCTCAGCCCGTGTAAATCTGCAGATCTTTGTATGGCTTCGTCCGCCCTGAAAGCATTCTTGCTGATTTACGCCGGCTGGAGAAGCGAGGCTGGAGCATCCCTGTGCGGCGTGAGGGGCGCGGGGCTGGCTGGTGGCTCCCTGCCTGCCA